CAAACCCGTGGCCTTGGTATTATCAGCACCGCACTCTCCCGAGTGAGCCACGGGCCGGCCCTTAAGTCTTTTTGATATAAAGTTCAGAGTCAGTATCAAGTGTCCTTTCTGGGAAGATAAAAGTGACTATGCTGAAAGTTTTTACAGTGGCAAAGGTCAAATATCATGGATTGTGTTTTTCAAGACAGCAAATGCAGTGCACTGAGAAGGTGAACGTTAATTAAAAGGCTGTTAAAAGCATCATTGTATCAGACTTCTTGATTCAAACTAGGTCTCCACTCCTGTGGTGTATCCATTTGATGCAGATCTGTAGAATTCCTTGTATTACCATAAGTGAATTGATCTTAATGGATTTATTCTAAGAAAGGAATTTTAGTTGCTTTAATAATTAAGGAATTTGTAGTAGAAAAGATACTTGTCAATATCCTTGACTTCTGTGATCACAAAACCCCCGATTTTAACCTGTAGAAATTCAAACAATAAATGAATTATTCAGTATAAGGAGTGACATAAAATCCATAAAGCAGTGTAATCATACCAGGAGAAGAAATGTTCCCTTTGGTTACATGGTAAAAAGTGTTCTTTTTTTAAAAAGAAAAAATGTTCTTTTCCTCTGTCAAAGTGCGAAATGAGCTTAGATGGTTGTTATGGTGCCTAGATATACAGCCATTGGGCAGAAACAAGTCTGGTTTCTCATGTTCTTTCGTGAGAGGGGCAGGCAAGGTATTTGAGCTCAGAGAGGCACAAATTCAGATCCACCCCATCAGTCACCCTCAGTGCTCCTGGCTCTGAAATGTGCTCAGTGGTGTCTGAAGAGGAGTGTAAGAGATGACAGCTCGTGTTAGCCAGATACAGCTACCTGGAAGGGGCCAGACCCTGCAGCAAAAGCGTGCATGCTGCCCTGTGCCCACGGAACCTCATGGGTATGTGTCCTGCTCTGCTGACTGCTTCCTGCCTCCGGGGTCCTGGGGGATGGGGGATGGTTTATAGGCTTTGCGTTTTTCTCCAGAGGCGCATTTAGTTGATGACTTGTTTCTCAGAGATAAAATCCCAGTGAAACTGAGTTGAATCTCCAGTTTAGGAGAAGGTCTGAGCACTGTTCAGCGATTTATGGGTGCTCGAGGAAAGTTGGCCTTTACATCATGGAAAGGTTTCTTGACGGGCGATTTGAACATAGGAATTGTGGTGAAATGAGGCGCTCAAGCCTTCCCAGAAGTGAGGAACTAAAGAAGGGACTANCTGCCTCCGGGGTCCTGGGGGATGGGGGATGGTTTATAGGCTTTGCGTTTTTCTCCAGAGGTGCATTTAGTTGATGACTTGTTTCTCAGAGATAAAATCCCAGTGAAACTGAGTTGAATCCCCAGTTTAGGAGAAGGTCTGAGCACTGTTCAGCGATTTATGGGCGCTCGAGGAAAGTTGGCCTTTACATCATGGAAAGGTTTCTTGACGGGTGATTTGAACATAAGAATTGTGGTGAAATGAGGCGCTCAAGCCTTCCCAGAAGTGAGGAACTAAAGAAGGGACTAAACTCTATCAGACACGGTAAACGTTCCCACCACTGCAGCTGCCCAGCAGAGCTAAGCGCTGGTATGCAAGCTCTTTGGGTGGGCTTCTCTGCTTTTATGTCAATGTAGTACTCCTCATTGTTTCTAGTAAATTCAGCGCTTAACTATGCTAAATGAGAACTTATTTTTAGGTGGGAATGTATACCCCAATATATACAAGTATACACCTAGGGGGTGGCTGCTTTTGTGAGTTGGAATCATACCTGAAATTTCTTAGCCTCTGTAGTGTTACCCTTACCAGTGGCTTTCAACTCCCTTCCCCAGCTCAGAGCTTCTGAGCAAAGAAAAGTAACTTTTCTTCACACACGAAAAATGGGCAGATCTTGATAGCCAAAAACTTGAGAAGAAAGAGTGGGAAACAACCTTTTCTCTGCTAAAAGGAGAAGTTGACTGGTATGCTAAACAGTGTCATCTAAGACCATTGGAATTAGCAGTACAGAATAAACTGAGAGCTAACACTGACTTTAGCATCACCAGAATATTCCCAGCAGTTGTGTTTTTCAGTCTTGTATTGTTGATAAATGATTGCTGAATTAATGAGTATAAAGCAGAAGAGATTTCTCTCCCTCTTGTTACTTGCAATCCAGTAACCTTGCTGCATGCTGTGGTTAATTCCAGACTGAACAGCTGTTGTCGGTGTTAGAATTAAGCAGTGGAGACTTCTCACCTTTCACCTGGATTCCCAGTTCTCATGTGCCATCGTCACATTTTATAGCTGTCAGGAGCCCAAAATAGAACGAAGAGACTTTTGCAAGGGGAGCTTTCATCAACCAAATCATTTCTTTAGTGATTAATACTGAGTTAATACTGAAACTAGGTATTTCCAGCCTTTTCCTATCATAAGGTGATAGATCTGCCCATTACATGGTATGCAGAACTCAGCTAGTCCATCCCTAACCACTTAGTGCAGAAGCTCCTAACCTGGGGTCCCTGGACCTTTGGGGATGGGCCACAGATACGTATCTATGGGGGTCAGGAAACTGTATGCAAAATTTTATTCACGTTTTCATTTTTCTAGGGAGAGTCTGGTTTTTAGCACATACTCAAGAGTGTGAGAAGATCCCAGGAAAGTTAAGAACTGTTGTAGTCAAACGCAGAAAATATAGTTTTGTAAAGAGCCATTCTGTATTGGCAAATGAGATCCCTTCCTGCTACTTCCTCATCACCATTCTTTCATTTTTTTTTTTTTTTCTCTTTTTCATTTGATATAAGTCTACTAATGAATGCTTTGGAAACTGCAGAAGATAATCAGAAACAGACTCTGCCCTTACAGAATGGGAAGAATAGGAAACATAGGAATCATGCTTTGTCATACCAAGTGATGTTCCTGAGGGGATGAGGACTTGTTGAGCCTGTGCTGTCTGTGTACCTGTGTTTCCTGTATGATGCGTCTGTCACCATTGTACTGATTTTATATATTTAGTTATGTTCACAACAGCGAATGAATTGGAATATATTTGATTTGGGCAACTTAGTTTAAGTTGAATGTTCTCAGTCAGGTGTCTTACAGACCGAAGTAGTTAAGTCTAAAAGAGAGTTGAATCAAAGCCTCTCTTAGTTTGAGGTAAGAGTTCAATAAAGATGTTTCAGAAAAAGCTGTTTAGAGAATCACCTTGCACAGTCTTCTCTCATGTCATGTTTTAGCATTTTAATTCTTGGTGCTAGCAGCAACACAGAGGTGGGCTTGATCCATCACACCCCGAAGACCTACGCTTTATCTTCTCCTTTTCAGGAAATGAATGGGGTGCTCAAAGGCATGCTCTCAGAATGGTTTTCTTCAGGGTTCCTAAACCTGGAACGGGTTACCTGGCATTCACCATGTGAAGTGCTTCAGAAAATCAGTGAGT